GTGTGCAACAACAGCAAAAAAAAAGGGCCTGTAGGCGCGATTTGAAAGATTTCAAATCGCGGCCCATCTAAGCCGTCGATCTCCAAGATCGACGGCCCAGACTGGCCGCGATTTGAAATCTTTCAAATCGCGCCTACAGGCGCTTTTTTTTTTTTTTTCCGCTGCGTCGACCTTCCCGCCTCACTGTTGCGTCCATCGTTCCTCGCCTCCGGACCTTCCCTCGTCACTTCGACCCTGCTACGTCCATCGTCCTTCACTGCTGCGTTTGTTGTCCATCGTCGACCCTGCTGCGTTCGTCGTTCGTCGTCGCCTTCGGACCACGCGCCCGCCTACGCTGTCGACGCCCCCCAAACGCCATCTCGCTGCCCGCCAACACCCCCCGACGCCCCCCGACGCGCACCATGGTGAGTTGTCAACTTCTACGAGAGAAAGAGAGAGAGAGAGAGAGAGAGAGAGAGAGAGAGAGAGATCTTCTTCTTCTTCTTCTTCTTCTTCTTCTTCTTCTTCTTCTTCTTCCTCTTCTCCTCCCCCTCCTCCTCAACTTCTCGTTCTTCATCTTCTTCTTTTTCTTCTTGCCCCTCCTGACCGCCATCAGCGACCAGCAGTTCCGATTTTTTTTTATTTTTTTTTTTCTGCCTCGTGCGCGTGCGTGTTCGGCCGCGTCTTGTACACCACCCTTTCTAAGTCCGTGCCCTCCATCCTTTCGCGCCCACCATTTCTCACCCCCTGCCCATCTTCCACCATCATCTTCTTCTTCTTCTCGTCCACCCTTTCGCACCCCCCTCCAATCTTTTTCTTCATCTTCTTCTTCCTCCTCCTCTTCTCTTCTTCTTCTTCTTCTTCTTCTTCTTCTTCTTCTTCTTCTTCTTCTTCTTCTTCTTCTTCTTCTTCTCCTCGTCCTCCTCCTCCACCTCTTCTTCTTCGTTTTGTTCTTGTTCTTCGTCTTGTCCCCCCCCCTGCCACATCAGTTTTTTTTTTTTGTCGGTCTACACTGTCTCCCTTTTCTCGCCCACCTAACATACCCATCTTCTTCTTCTACTTCTGGTCGGCCTCCTTCTTCTTCTTCTTCTTCTTCTTCTTCTTCTTCTTCTTCTTCTTCTCCTTACTGAGGCTTATTCTTCTTCCTCCTCCTCTTCTCCTCCTTGTCTCCTCCTCTTCTTCTTCTTCTTCTTCTTCTTCTTCTTCTTCCTCTTCTTCTTCTTCTTCTTCTTCTTCTTCTTCTTCTTCTTCTTCTTCTTCACGTGTCCCACATACATCCCCCATATCCCACCTTGTTTTTTTTTTTTTTTGTCGGTCCACACTCTTCTTCTTCTCCCGCACCTGACGAATCTTCATCATCATCATCATCTTCTTCTCCTTCTTAGTGCCACCTCCTTCTTCTTCTTCTTCTTCAT